CTTGCACAAACGAAGCATCAAGACATCTGACAAAGCGGGGAAGCACTGCCAGGTACCCGAAGAGGCGCAAACAATTGACTTTGGCCCCGTGCCCAGATCTCGGTACCCACTAGTTGCACTGCTGACACTGGAGGATGAAGGCAACAGAGAGATATATGACATTGTAGGTAACCTTCTTTCTTGAGAAAAGTAACTGGGACAGGAGTTTGCTTTGAACTGTCTGTGAAAAAATTGCCGTCGAACAGAAGTTGCCAGGGACTTGCTTTTGCTTTTTGTCATAGCTGTTAGATGTGTGCTAATATTATTCCTTCTTTAAAATGACATCTCCTCCTGGATCCTTGGATTAGATAAGGGCAAAAATAGTTATTAGAGAGCTTGCCACATTCCACAGATTGAGAAGCCAGCTCTGTTTCAGTCTGCTGGAAATAGTCACAAAGTTCATTACCCATCACTTCACATGCGTAAGTTTTACCTGGGTGGACCTGAAATTTGGGTAGACGATTAATGAAGTTGAACTGGTTTAGCTTAATTGGGCCTTAGTATAAGGCAGAATTAACTACCATCGGGGATTTCACTAGACTCAGAGTAGGAAACCTGATGACTGCAATGATTTCTATATGAAGAAATAAAATGAAGGTTGTATAGTTCACTTTTAAAAGCATCCACTCTGAGGTGGCTTTAAAAACAAAACAACCCTTTAGATACAGTTGTATTCTATTTGGAACGCTTTTATAATTGTAATGATTTTATTCGTTTCTGTAACTATCGTATATCACGTGTAACCATTTCTGGGACTTCATGTTAAATCTTACTAGTGGTTAATAAATCTTTTGAGTGTCAAGGAACAGAACCGCAAATAAAGACAAATGCAATGTTTGTGCCACAGATGTTCTTGGACTGAGGCTCAAGATGCACTCATGTATCTAGCATCAAACTTGGCTTTGCCCGGCACAGACAAACTGTGTTGCGTTCCATCTGTTACAAGCACGGAATTTAGCATTTGTTACAAAGTTCGGCCTCTGACAGGGCAATCCTATACATGTATATTCCAAAGTCTCACTGACTTCAGAGGAACTTACTGCATGGAGAGTAGGGATCAGATTATACCTGATTAATCTCAAGGGTTTTGGTCCCCCCATCACACTTTTTAAGATTTCCAGTAGCCATGGGGAGGTGGCCTCAGTGCTCTGCATGACTGCCACTCCCTGTGGCTAGCATGGAGAGAATACATTATGCAAAAACCAAGAATGGATTATGGAAGATTAGCAAATGCAGGCAAATCTGCTTTATTTACAAAATTGGGCCCAATCACAATTTGCCTTTTCTAAGTTACTATGGACTAGAATTTATATTTGTTATGGCAGAGGTAGAGGTAAAGAGCCCCGGGACTGTTAAATCCAGTCAAAGGTGACTATGGGGTTGCGGCACTCATCTCGCTTTCAGGCCGAGGGAGCCGGCGTTTGTCCACAGACAGCTTTCCGGGTCATGTGGCCAGCAGGACTAAACTGCTTCGGGTGCAATAGAACACCATGATGAGTGCAAGAGTGCACAGAAACACCGTTTACCTTCCCGCTGCAGTGGTACCTATTTATCTACTTGAACTGGCGTGCTTTCGAACTGCTAGGTTGGCAGGAGCTGGGACAGACCAACAGGAGCTCACTCCGTCGCAGGGATTCGAACCGCCAACCTTCTGATAGGCAAGCCCAAGAGGCTCAGTGGTTTAGACCACATGTGTTATGGCAGACAACCATCAGCACTCAAGGGGTGACAAAAGACTGAGGAGTTATCGATTTTCTGCTCCTTTGCTTGTGCAATTGCTACAAAGGAAGCTGTCTTGCATTGAACTAAACCATTGGTCCATCTAGTCCCATACTGTTGACAATGATTGGCAGCTGGATATGCCATGGATTGAACGTGAGACTTCTTGCATGCAAAGCAGACCCTCTACCACTGAGCTATGTATCTCCCCCAAAGCAGACCAAGAGAATACAATAGTTAAACATGTCCATTGGCTTTCCATGATACTGAAGGAGTGCATGTAGTAGCAGGGCAAATGGCCAAAGGAGCTGCTTTACGTTATGTTGATCAGCTGTTTAGTGGCAGCCAAGCAGCGAGTTAAGAGGAAAGAGAGCTACAGCAGGCAGTTTCCAAAGAATTAAATACCTAGAGCCAAAAGGTATTCTGCGTTCAAGTTAATTCTCCAATTTACACATTCATTTCTATGTGCAGCAAAAAGGAAGACTTCCAAACTGCAGCCCATTCTTGTCCTCACCCTGCACAGAGGTGAAAGGGGAAACGAACCTCAAAACCTTTCAATAATGAGGTTTATATTCTAAATAATAAGGGTGGGTTAAACCACAGAGCCCAGGACTTGCTGATCAGAAGGTCAGCGGTTCGAATCCCATTGACGGGGTGCGCTCTCGTTGCTCGGTCCCTGCTCCTGCCAACCTAGCAGTTCGAAAGCACACCAGTGCGAGTAGATAAATAGGTACCACTCCAGCGGGAAGGTAAATGGCGTTTCTGTGTGCTGCTCTGGTTCACCAGAAGCGGCTTAGTCATGCTGGCCACATGACCCGGAAGCTGTACGCCGGCTCTCTCGGCCAATAAGGCGAGATGAGCGCTGCAACCCCAGAGTCGGCCACGACTGGACCTAATGGTCAGTGGTCCCTTTACCTTTATTCTAAATAATGAGGCTGTTGATTTTAAATAGACTAAGTACAAGGAAGACTGATGGGCAGTAAGGGCACTAGACACCCATTCTCTGGAATCTCCTCTCCTGGCTTTCTCAACTTTTTGCTAGATCCATTGGGGCTAGAAACTTGCTTTAGATGATTTGCTTAGAAGCAGAGCTGTTCAACATTCTGCAACTCTACAAAAGCAAAGATATGCAACTCTGATCAAAGGATACCAATACTGCTGGCGGTAGAGATACTCGTCATACACTGCCTCCTCAAAGGCCTGTGGCGTTTTTATTCGAAAGCAGTAAGCATGTTTCTGCAGAGCTTCGTGGATCTTCTGCACGCTGCAGCCCCAGTAGCACGTAAGAAGGCAGTCTTCCAGGCAATCAGGCACCAGCGTTATGCCATCTTATGAAGAGGGGGGAAAGAAAAGAACATGGCGTCACAAACAGGAGTTTTGAAAACTGAAAGGTCCCAAGGTTGGGGGGGGAACCCATTATGTCAATTCCAAATAACTATGTAGCAGGAAAAGCATCGTTTTTGATGAAAATCACCAAGTCCCTAAATCTTTCATGCTTGACAGCAATTCTTCAGGCGATGAAAGGGCTTTCCCAGACAACGGATGAATTTGCCATCAGGCTTTGGAAATGTAACACGCAAGTCATCGCCAATGGATTAAAAAAATATATATTTTATTTTTATTTTTTTACTGGATTTCCCCTGTAAACAGTAAATCCAGATTAGACGGGGAAAATAAACAGTCTGCCATTTGGATGCCAGCGACTTGGTGAGACCACCACAGAAAACTTGCATGTGTGAGGAGCACCCAAAATCTTATTTCATAGAAACTAACTTCATAAAGGGGGACGCGGGTTGCGCTGTGATCTAAACCACAGAGCCTAGGGCTTGCCGATCAGAAGGTCAGCGGTTTGAATCCCCGCGACGGGGTGAGCTCCCGTTGCTCGGTCCCAGCTCCTGCCAACCTAGCAGTTTGAAAGCACGTCAAAGTGCAAGCAGATAAATAGGTACCGCTGTGGCGGGAAGGTAAACAGTGTTTTTGTGCACTGCTCTGGTTTGCCAGAAGTGGCTTAGTCATGCTGGCCACATGACCTGGAAAGCTGTCTGCAGACAAACGCCGGCTCCCTCGGCCTATAGTGCGAGATGAGCGCACAACCCCAGAGTCGTTTGCGACTGGACCTAATGGTCACGGGTACCTTTACCTTTTTAACTTCATATAACATGCAATTTCTTTGAGTGAGACTATGTTCGAAGCACATTTAGATTGTTTGTCTCCTGGAGAAGAACGATCAAGCCCAAAATGCGTTGCTATTGTCACTTGGTGGCAGCTATCTAACAATTCACTAGGGAAGCTCCTCTGCACAGCTGTGACACTCCACCCTGGCTGGTCACTATGAGAACAGGATGCTGGAATAAATGGGCCTTTGCTCTGATCCCTGTTAATGTGTTTGCATCCTGTCATCCCTCTGGCACAGAGCACAGGTATCCATGAGATTAGTGGCGTTTTCATGCTGCCACGTTCATACTGACCGTGTAAAACCTACATTAGCAAGAATGCCAGTTCACAGTACACGGTGTATCTCCTCTGCATGACCATATGCTAGAAGAAATAAATATAGTCAAGCAGATCAAGGAAGCAATAATCTCTTTGCAGGGGCCAGCTTAAACTGGGTCATCTCATTCCTGTTAAAAGGGTCTAACAGGGATAGTTGCTACGGGTAAATCGATAGCCGGCGCTTGGCATAGCAGGGGAGGGGGAGGGGGGAGAAAATCTGAACAGCAACCAAAACAGACAATCTACTGACTTGCAACTGAAGCAGTTTCCAGGTTTTTTATTTCCAAGCTGAATGGGTTTTTCACTTGCCGCATCTGTTTCTGGGACACTTTCACAGTCGATTCAGCTTCGTCTGAATTTCTCAGAATCACGGGAACGTCCCACCCAAACCTAAGCAGCACGAAATAAAATCAACAGAAACGCTTAACATTAACAACAGTCAAATCTGGTGAAGGTACAGCCAAAAGGCAACAACTGTCTTAAAACAAAATGACTCAATCTTCAACCCCTGTTGTATTTGCTCCTCGATGAAACGGACCCTCTGCATGTGGATTTTACCACAGGGCTGGGCTACCACTCTTATTTGCTCCCTCCTGTTAAAAATGCAATCCACTCACCCCCCGTAATGAAAAATAAAATTGTGCACCTCCATGTTTTGCAGCTATGTGGGTCTCAAAATTATCCTACTCAAAAGATTGTTGTTAAGTTTGACTGGCATAGCATATTGGTGGGCTAGGGTCAAGGTCCCTGGACACTTCAGGTGGGGTTCATGTTAAATGTTACAGTATGCCCCTCTGTCTGCACTAAATGTATGGATTTCATAGATTTATATATGTGTGTGGTCAGTGTGTAGATATATTGTATCATTTTCAAATTGCTTTTAAATTATTGTTTCCCCTCTCATGTTTTCAGTTGTTCTTACTTTTGCTTCTAAGCTGCCTGGCATGGGGAAAGGCAGGGTATAAATATGTATTTTTATGTTTTTATATTGTAAACCACCCCATGATCCTCAGCTAAAGGGAGGTATTGGAACAATAAATAACAACAACAATCTATGCTACCACATGGAGTTGGCGGAAATGACTGGCAGAATCCGAGACCAGGGAGAAGAGTCGGTGGAAGAAGATTGGAAAAAAATTAAAGTATATTTACAGAAATATTGTAAAATCAATGAATGTTAGAAGGATGCTGGAATAAAGTTATGTGGCTTTAGCAGAAATGTTATAAAGAATTAAGTAAAAATAGATTGTTAATGGGTCAAAGTGGAAATTTAAGGTTAGATTGTGTTAAGATAAATTATAGAGCAAAAATTAAGAAAGATGGAAAGGATTTGCTGAAATAGTTAATTGAACAAGAATACAAAAAAGGGAGGTGTGAGGAGGTTGATGATACAAGTAAATGAAAGGTAGAGATATAGGGATATTGGATGTGTTTTTAAATGTTTTTGCTTTTCTTGTTGCTTTGCTGTATTGTTTTTTGTTTTTCTTTTTATTTTTGATGTATTGTGAACTTTTTATTGTTTCTTTTTTCTTTTTTTTGGTAACTATTAAACCTTTAATAAATATCTTTTTTTATTAAAAAAAAACAATCTCTGCTACCACAATCTAGCATCCTTTCCCCACTTTCCCAGATGTAGCAACCCCATATCCCCTTAGAGCTTTATTACGTTTCTAATGACTATCTTTCTACATGTTTTATGGCTTTCCTCATTTTATCAGTGTTTGTTTTCAATTTGTGAAAGCAGCCTTGAGTCTCTGTCTGGGAGGAGAGAAATAAATAATAATAATAATAATAATAATAATAATAATAATAATAATAATAATAAACCTGAAGGAGCATCTCCACCCCCATCATTCAGCCCGGACACTGAGGTCCAGCGCTGAGGGCCTTCTGGTGGTTCCCTCATTGCGAGAAGCAAAGCTACAGGGAACCAGGCAGAGGGCCTTCTCGGTGGTGGCGCCCGCCCTGTGAAACGCCCTCCCATCAGATGTCAAAGAGGTAAACAGCTACCTGACATTCAGAAGAGATCTGAAGGCAGCGCTGTATAGCGAAGTTTTTAATGACTGATGGTTTAATGTATTTTTAATCTTTTGTTGGAAGCCACCCAGTCTGGGGAAGTCTAGGGAAACCCAGCCAGGGTGGGCTAAAAATAATAAATAAATTTATTATTAATATAATATACTATATTATTATTATTATTATTATTATATTATTATTATTATTATTATTATTATTATTATTATTATTGCAGCATCCCCCCCTTTCCCAGATGCAGCACCCCCTCACCCCCTTAGAGCTTTGTTACGTCTCTAACGACTATTTTTCTATACGTTTTATGGTTTTCCCCCTTTTAATCTGTGTTTCTTTTCAATTTTTGAAAGCCGCCTTGAGTCTCTGTCTGGGAGGAGAGAAATTAATAATAATAATAATAATAATAATAATAATAATAATAATAATAATAATACTGTCGTAATAATAATATGCCTCCCTCCCTCCACAGCTCCCCATCTTCCACTTACCCCCCTCCATTCACTGGAATAAATTTCTCCCCCCCCCCCCAGCCAAGCCCCCTCCTCTCCCTGGACCCCCCTCCTCCTTGCTTCCCCCTCCCCCCGTGACCTCTGACCCCCCCCCCGCTCTCCACTGACCAGCCCATGACCAGGCCGCTGGTGACCAGGAAGCAGATGAAGACGACGGAGATGTAGAAGAGGGGCGAGTATTCGTACAGCGCCACCAGGAACGCGGCAGCCATCGGGGAGCGAGAGGCGCCGCCGCCGCCGCCGCCTCAGTCCCTCTTTGTTGTCGGCCCACAGCGCCTGCGCGAACGAACCCCGCGCATGCCCGCCAGGGGCCAACGAAGCCTCCGCAGCTGCCCTTTCCTCCCTTCCTCTTTGCCCTTCGTTCTCCGCTCCCCCGTCAGACGCTGCGCGGTACGTGAGGGGCGGAGCCTCAGGCCCTTCACAAACTACAGCTCCCAGAATTCCACGGGGGAAGCCGGGGCATCATATAGCGCTTGAAATGCATAGCGCAGGCGGAATGTGTGTGGCCAGATCTGGACACATCGAAGAAGCGTCTCACTTTAAGGCGCTGTAAATTTGAACAGGGAAAAGAGGTGGAGAAAAAAATCCGGGACTCCACGTCGCCATCTGGTGGCAATAATAATAGTAATAATAGTAATAATAGTAATAATAGTAATAGTAATAATAATAATAATAATAATAATAATAATAATAATAGTTATTGTTGTTGTTGTTATTGTTGTTGTTATTATTATTATTATTATTATTATTATTATTATTATTATTATTATTTATAGCCTGCCCATCTGGCTGGGTTTCTCCAGCCACTCTGGGCGACTTTCAACAGAATATTAAAACACAATAGTCTATTAAACATTAAAATCTTCCCTAAACATGGCTGCCTTCAGATGTCTTCTAAAAGTCTGGTAGTTGTTGGCACAATGTTATATCGCATATACAAGGTATATACGTAAATCGCTTTTTCTTTAGCAGTCTAGCTGAGTCCTGTGTATGAGAGAAAGAGAGAAAGAAAGAAAGGGAAGAGAAGCATGTTGTTGTTTAGTCGTTTAGTCGTGTCCGACTCTTCGTGACCCCCTGGACCAGAGCACGCCAGGCACTCCTGTCTTCCACTGCCTCCCGCAGTTTGGTCAAACTCATGCTGGTAGCTTCAAGAACACTGTCCCACCATCTCGTCCTCTGTCGTCCCCTTCTCCTTGTGCCCTCCATCTTTCCCAACATCAGGGTCTTTTCCAGGGAGTCTTCTCTTCTCATGAGGTGGCCAAAGTCTTGCAGCCTCAGCTTTGTTACAGGAAAAATCCGAGGGCTCCCTTGGACAAAAACAAAGACACCAACCAGGATAACTTGGAGCAAAACAGCAGCCTGTAGGCTTGGCCTTTATTGAACTGATGCATCAGGGTGTTCCCCTCACTTGCAGGAGAGAGGAAAGACCCAGAACAATGGGCTGCAAGACCTTATAAAAACTTTTTGAAATTCCCCTCCTCTAGCTCAAGCCCACCCCCAGAAACATCATGCATACATTACAGAAAGGAGTTGACATCATGCATATATTACAGAAAGGAGGGGTTGAGGGAGGAGTTGTGGTGGTAACCTGAGTGTCCTGTCACCCAGCTGGTTCCTCCTTTCCCCCTCCCCATGAGTGCCTTCCAGGTGACAATGGGGAGTTTGCAGTTTCCTGCCCCCAGAGGGAAGATCTGATCATTCTCCTTTGTTTCAGTCTGTGGTGAATCCACTGTTCTTTGTGATTTTGATTGTCTTCTGTCTGGGATCATCTGGGCAGGGCTCCTGCAGATGTGCTGAGACAGTGAAGGGATTCTGGCTGACCAGGGTCAAACCCCCCTCCCCTTCTGTTAGTTCTTGTCATATGGAGTAAAATAAAAATGGAACAGTGCAAATCCAATGTATGGTTGATTTTCTATGAATTTATAACAGAAATGTGGCGTATGTAGTGTGTGAGTGTGTGTGTGTGTGAAGTTTGTACAAGCAGAATGATTGGGGTGGGGGGTTTCCTGCTACAGTTCCCCCCTTCGGAGATAAGATTGCAAAGGTGGCTACTTTGCAATCCTTTTCTCCGCACAATTTAAGGTGGTAAATAATAACCTGGTATTCTCCGTCCCAGATGTGTGTGTCCATGTGAACCTGAAAGGGACTTGGATATCATGCTACTTTAAGGATATTTGCATGGAAATATAATGGTGTAACAGTGCACATAGTTAGACATAGGATATCACGTAAATTAATATTTTGTTGCTCAGTTACTTGTGGTATTCTAGCACCTTGGAAGAAATATTTTCTCAATAGTGATCTATGCTTTACATTTAGGCAGGAAGGTCCACTAATGACTGAAAAGTGCAGTTTGCTTCCCCCCCACCCATTTGTGTGTTCTCAGGTGTCAAGGTAGCTCTTCTGTGGTCTCACATCGGCATGGTGTCGCAGTAGTGGCAATCCCTGCTGAATCCACTTAGGGCTTTCATGTTGCCTGGCACCCACCACAGCTGGCACAGGTTTCGGGCACGTCCTGAGAGAAATGCCTTTGCCTTGGCCAAAATCCATGGGATTTCTTATTATTATTACAGGCTCTGGTCTTGCATCCTGGGAAGTTGCTCACTTGCACTTTAAGGACCAAAAAGCTAATTGCAGCCTGGATACACTTGCCCAATTCAAACTGAGTCCAATTTGAATTTATGTGCCCATGGTTCTCAAGTCCTCAAACCAATCTGTTAAAGGAAAACCGTTCTTAAAAGGGCACTTTGTCCAAATAAGTCAATTTAACTCTATAAGGGATCATTCCTGCTAAACCAAAGCATGTGCACCTTCATGTATCTTATAAGCTTCTCCTTGGTAAAGCAAGTTTTAGCACATTTTAAAATGGATAGGGAAAGTTGGCAGAGTGCCAAGTGGGACAATGAAATGTGGTTATCTAAACATTGGACTACACAATAGTGTGAGCTATCAGAAAGTATAAAATGCATGAGAATTGGTGTGCAAGCAATAAGACATTAAACATAAAAATTACACACAAAAATACCCCCCTTGTGGAAATAACACACTGTCAGACACATTTCAACATTCCTACATAACAACACTTAAAACAAAACAAACTAATTAAATATCAGTTGCATATCTTGACACAATTGTGATCTTTTACGCATGTATCTTTTGAATCCTGGAGCACAGAGGCTTGAGGTTCAAGTGAAAAGATGTCCTTGCAAGTCAACTCCACCCCCCTTTGTCAGGCCCATTCCCCTGGCAGTCTATATCCTTTGAAAGAGATAGCTGTGGGCACTTGAAAACTCTGGTGTCTTGTGATGATGAAGAACTGAGTTGAGGGGTTGTTGCTGCTTTTCATCATTGCACATCTGTAGACGTGATATCCTGTAAGGGGGCAGGGTTTTGGGGACTTAAACACAGTTAGACAAGGAAGGGGCAAAAGGCAAAAAGGATGTCCTCCAGTTTCCATGGGAAGCTGCAAATAATAACAATCTTAGCACATTAAGCATTTTATTCATTTCAATATTATTATCACATTTCCACATAATTACTGTTATTATCTGCTAAGTTTGTTTGCTTTCCTTCACTTAGTTGTTGTTGTTGTTCTTTTCATATTATAAAATAAAAATTACTCCACATGTATAGAAAGAGAACTGTAAAAAAATACAAAGGTTAAAAAAATACAAAAGAAAGCAAAAAATTAGATTACCAGTCAGATGAAAACAAACTTGACACAAAGACATCAGATTTAGAAAAGAATTATTATTAAATATATTATCAAAACCACGCAGATTACTACTAGACTGAAAAAATGGGAAAACCATGGGGGAAAAACTTTAAATTCACCATGTGCTATCTGATAAAAGAACTTCATGAAACTGACTTTCAACATGTGATGAACATGTCCCCAAAGTAGAACACACACACAAAATTACCTATGAGGAACCAAAAATAAATAAATGCTAAGACACACAATTAATAAGAAACTTGAAGTAACCTGAAGTAATCTGTTTTGGCATTCTAACATCCCAAATGAAAATAAAATAGTGTTTCTTGATGTGACAACATCAGCTGTAAGGTTAATACTGGGAAATGAGCTAATACCAAGAAAAAATGAATGGCAATTTAAAGTTGTACAAGTACCTTGCACTAGCCAAAATGACAGAATTAAGAAATGCTCAGGCAAAAAGGTAAACAATACCATTCCACAAACAATGTTTGGTTGTGCTTCGATTAATTTCATATATATAATGGAAGAACTGATAAAACGAACTTAGTAAACGAAAACAAATTATTTGTAACCTAAAAAAATGTCAAAGCCACAAAGAGATAGAAGGAAATCAACTAATATAACAGGGATTCAGACTTGTTTCACAGAACAGAAAGAAAGTTGCTGTGGGAGGAAAAAGGGACAAACACTTTGTTATCGGGGTTCACATATCTCACATATCCTGTTAAAAGGGAAAATTATTTCATGTGAGAAGCTTGTCAGGAAATGCTGTTCTTAAAATTCCCATTGGGGGGGGAATGCTTTGATATTTACCTGTGAAAAGAATTTGGCATGTTAAGATTTGGAACTTGGAAAGCTCTTGACTTTTGATGGGCTAGTTGTTGTTGTTGTTTTTTTTTTTTGTTTGTTTGTTTTTTTAAGCCTTTTGTCTTACGTAGCCCCTGGAGCAAAGAAACATTTAGGGTGATTTCCCTCAATGATTCAAAGTTTTTGCATTTGGATAAATTTGTTTTGCATTAGGATAAATTTCTCTCTGTAGTTCTCGAAGAAACCTCCTGTCCCCCCCTTACAGTTCCCCCCTTCCTCTCTCTCTCTCTCTCTTCTTTAGCTAATCTGGCCTCTGTGCATGTGCAGAGTTCATGTCTCAGCAAACGTTTTATACTATTGAAATGTTGCATCCTTTGGCTAAATTACCATTTGAATAAGGGAAGGGAAGGGTAAGGAGTAGATTTTGAAAATAGGGTTTGATTTTAAACAAAAAAGAGAAACTCAGCAATTTAAGTATTCACCAAAACTAGCAATTTCAGCCCAAGCAAACGAGACTGCTTCCTTTATGTACAGGAAAGGGCTAATATCCCTCTGGCCATTCGCGGAACAATCAACCGCTCTCTTATTTATGAGTAAAAATGGCCAGAGTTAGAATTCATAGGATTTTTTAACATTCTCAGTCATTTTAGCCTTACCATTTGCAGACAAATTTTATTATTAATATTATTATTTTCTGCCCTTTATTTACAGGAATGGTCAAGGCGCCTATGTATTCGTATGTGCTGAAACTTTGAGTTGACTTTGAAGTCTGATTTTTTAAATAGTAGACAAAATGATAAACACTGTAATCACCCAAATGCTTGATGTTACCAGTT